TTTATTATGCAGTACATACATAACGAAAAATTGTGATTTTTATTTAAAACCAACAATGTTTATAAAACTGTAATGTAAAGAAAACTGTTTCAAAAATATATAAGTATTTTATTTTTATTTATAAAATCGTGTGACCACTTGCTGATTGTCAATTAAAAGTTGCTATGTTCGGTGTTTGTATGTGTTTACCTAATAAAATAATTCTAATTTATTGGCAGATATAGATTTGAAGATTTAGTGATCTAATATTCTTAATTCAATAATAACTGAACATAAATAACCCTAATTATATTGGAATATAAATCATAAATATATTATAATATAATCTGAATTCAAATTGAGAACCATAAATGGCGTGCATTAATCAATTCAAGTATTTAATAAAATAAAAATAAGTTAATACTCATAATTTTTAGGTACTGATATTGAATTCTGTACCTGCTGATACTTGTTATTGTGACAGAATACTAGTACTCGTAGTAAATAATTATGAATCTGGTACAGTGACTATTAGCTTTTTAGGCATTCTTGGTGTTCTATATTAAATATCTGCTATATATATGTTACTATTTCTAGGTATTCTCAACGGTAAAAACTCTCAAAATAATATCTACAGATAAAAAGACTTTCACTGATATTTTATGCATACGTTTTTATGTCAATTTCCCTGAAGGCATTCTAAGTTACTTGTTAACTAACCTACCCAATTTAAAAAATATCCAAAATCCATTTCTAATTAAGTTTATTCGCTTTCAAGTTGAGTGCAATGTATAATTTGTTTACGAAAATACAAACGCGTAATTTCAGTTTCAAGTGTGTTTCGATTTGAATATTGTTTAAAATACATACTAATTTATCATTTACGGAAAACAAAATGGGTACTTATTGAAGGAACAATATCCTAAAGGGAAATACAGGGTTTAAAAGTTGAAATTAGAGACAGTGTACAAGTCTTTTCATCTTTAGTATAAATAATAAGGAAAATTGAGAATTGTGATCGTAGTGATAGTTTGAGAGTGACTAGTATAAATTGTCACATAGAATAGTTTAGGAATATTGATTGAAAGTTTTAGAACTTGTTAGGAAAACAGTTTTTAGATATCTTAATCTATTTATTTCTTTAATACGTATTCTATAAAAAATATCGTGTGTATTTGTTCTTGTGAGTTGCATAGGATTTTCGTACAATTGGAACTTTTACTCAAGTCCAGTTCAATTTATACTAGTCATCATCTGATATCTCAGATAATGTGAGATAAACATCGATACATTTAAGATTAATTGCATAATATCTTTGAAAACAAAATTTAAAAGTTGAAGCAAAGTGTGGTCACAGCTAGTGATTAATTTGTATTAAATGTGACTTACTTAAGAGAGTGCGGGACTACGTATGGTAATATTATATTAAGATGTAAACTAAAATACATTTCCTTACACCTATAATGTCTTCAACTTAATTACTAGTCACTAGACAAATATTTTAGAATTTCGTTTCGGAAAGACGTGGCCGACGTCACATTGTAGACTCTACTTTCAATATTTTCTCTACCAGCATCCTACTTTACTTTATAATTATATTCTATTATGTAATACAGACTTTCGTAGTCGTAATATAAATGCAATAAAATAAAAAATGTGAATACACAGATTACACGGTGCCTTATATTTGAGTGCTGTTTATTATTTGAAAGTATTAATAAGATTTATATACATTACGAGCTAAAATATATCTAAAAATTATTACTTTTAAGCCCAAATTTGGGGTATCCAAAAAACTGATTCTACGTTTTTACTAAAATTTCGGAGTATACAAAATGAACCTGATTTTTAATCGCATCTCTGTATATAATCAGGTTCCTTCCAAATTTAATACATAGTATATATAATTTATGACTTAAATCTGGATCTCTTCAAATGGCATCATCTACACTTTTACCTGAAAGTCAGGGTTCATAAAATATACAGCATCTACGTCTATTGGCAATCAAAATGTATTAAATATAAGAAATAATTAAATCATTGAACAAGCTTCTGTTAGAATACACGTATTCAATACCTATACATATATTATAGTGACTTACTTTTGTCCTAATTTACACCTATAGAACGCTAACTTAATTTAATATGTATCTCTAAACAAAACCATAGAAAATCATATTTAAATAATTATAAAAATAGCTTGATGATATCGTGCTTTAGTAATAAACGCACAGTATTGCTGCTTTTTATATAAATAGTTATGAACAAAATGCCATTAAGTAATATTAAAGCTGGACTGCTGAAGCCAGAAATACAGTACTGCACGTGTGTACCCTTGTGACGTATATAAATTAATTTGTAAAAGTGATTCAGCAGTACATCTTCTTGTCTATTTTCATATTAATAAATAATTACATAGTAGGTTCTCAATTTTCTACCCTATTACATTTGCCATTAATTCTATGTTTGAATGTCCTTTAAGGTATACGAATCTACGATTTGGACTATTTATAATTTATGGTATATATGTATGTTAAGAACTCAAACCTTAAACGCGTTGCGCACAAAAAATCCAATGCGGGTCGTAGCTGAAGACAGGAGCCCTGCTTGTCAGATATTCGAGGGTAGACATCGAACGTTGTGAAGATAGGAACAGATATCCGGCGCCACTCACCATGGCGGTGACGAGGTCACGAATAAGATTCCCATGTTGACAACGTATTTCTAATGCTCAATTATGCTTCAACTACTGCTTTAGTAGAATACTAGCGAGCAAAAAAAGCTAATTCATCTAAACTGAACTAATTTAGGAAAGCATTGCATGGACTATTGTGCGGCTAGTTAAGAAATAGCAAATATTTTCAGAGGTAAAACTATTTAAATAGAAGACTAAACTATGTTTTTACTTATCTAGGACATACTGTTTACAATGAAATACAAATCATTAGTACTAAATGATAATTATCAGAATCAAATGGATGGGCTCTATTATGTGTAGGGCAACTAATGCAGGATAGTTCCTCGAATGAAATCGTGAATTAATTGTATTTTAATGATTATTTTTTAAATAATTTGCATGGTTAGTGTGGCACCCAAAATATTACGAACAGGAAATTAAATTTGTTTACAATTAAAATAGTCGATATTTTACCATCGTTTAAGTTTCGATTCGATTGCCAATGTCATTTTAATTAAAAATATATTTAAAATTTTTAACACCGATTTATAACGAGCAGTAAATACATCTTTTGGATTTGAAATAAATATTATAAAGTGGAAAATAGTGCGACAAAATAACCGTTTTCTAATTTTAGTTAATAGAAATGTTTGTGTATTTTTATACAGTTTGTGGACTATTATTATGCTGCTGGTTGTCGTGTGCTGTTGGCAGTTTTCAATATTTTTGTCACTATCTATGCTTTTCTCGCTGGTGTGTTTTCTTCTATAATATAAAATTGCAGCAGCGCTTTTTAATAAACCCGCCTAACCAATTAAAACAAACTCTTCTCATAAAGAGGAGGTTTATATACTGTAGATGTGTGTGTGAATGCTGCTGATCATTCAAATACTATTAGGCACGGGCCATGTTTGAAATTAGGCTAAAGGATTCTTTTTTCAAACTTCAAACATGCATAGATCTCATTATTTTCGTTTGCACACTTTTATATAAGTTATATGCGGGTATAAATTAATAGTTATTATTGTTTAACGATGTCCAAAAAAACATGAAATAGTAATCCAGAAGCCTTATTTGACAAAGTCGATGTATTGCAAAGGTTCAATATGACAAAAGTGGGAACATACATGCTGGGTTCAGATTGTTAACATTTGGCGACTGCATGCCTCTAATGGAACTGATCTGCTCCGATATAATGATGGAAATAAAAATAGATTTATGATAACTTGCTGATATTTACCTGCTCCGTTTAGCGTAGGAATATGTTCTAAATATACTGAATGCTGCTGATTTCTGACTCGTTAATTTTATAATTTATTGATCAGTTAATAAAGAATACAATACCAATTTTCACCATTATCAAAACTCAACACGCATTCAATGATGTGAAGCAAAATCACTTGCTCAAAACATTCATTAATAATTTACAAGTTAAAAATAAAACTACGGATCCAAACAAAAATAGTTCAGGACATTGGAATGGTCTGCAACTACAATTAAAAAATAAAATTCCTAATGATATTATCACAACGATATCAGCAAAGAATAAACGAATCACTAAGTTTATGTTATAATTACAAAAGTTTACTAAAACTAATTAAATAATTCAAGCTGAGAAATTTGAGCATCAGATTCGTAAAACTACGGATTTATCGTAATTCCACTCATTTTACCACTTAATAGTAATAATAATTTGAAACCTTACTGCATATAGATAAATATAAAATACTATTCCCCGCTTGCCAAATTTAGGAACATCTGCGTACCTACACGAAGAACAACATACTATTCCATTTATTCACTTATATGAAATCCATAGATTTATATTTTTCTCAATCTCATAAGCTGCACACACATATAACTAACTACGTGCAGTAAACGAGCCTAATATTTACAAATAGAAAAGGATTCAATTCGAAATAAACCTGCAACAAGAGATAAAGTAAAGCAGTAAAGCCTACTTGCTAAACCTGGTATTAATTTATAAACCCAAGAGTAGATCGCGATGTTACACGTGACCTCTAAATGACACAAAACTTCAGTCGTTTGGATTCTACCTTAGACTCCAAGAAAACTATGTAGATCTTATGCTAAATCGTTCGTAATTCAAATTTCCGAGTCTTACGTATTTACAACATTTATCACGTTACATTTAGTACATTATGTATAGATTATCTACAAATTAATTTAGAAACACCACGAGATAGTTTCGTTCACAGCGAAATTCCAAATACAAAGTTTTCCTTTACTAAAGAGGGGAATAATATGTGTATTTAATAAATTGTTTCAAATTATTATTGAATGCGGTAATGTGAGAAAATAAGTGGATTATGTACAGCGCCCTCTATTTATCCTCTTCCAGTAGAACCAGATCGTCAGCCACGACGTCGGAAACGTGTAGGTAAATGATCCAGTACATGAGGTTAAAACATACGAAGCAGACGGGGAATACTATGCGAGAGTACTTGTCGATGTCCGAAGGAGTCATGCCGAGCAGTTTGCTTATGTCCTGAAAAATCAAAATAAATTTCTAAGAATTCGATCAGTCAGAGTTATATAAGGGACATATGGACCTGGTGGGCTACTGGTAATATGGGTGCTCTTAAAATATTAAATTATAAAGGATATCCAAAGCAACAGAAACGGAAAAGTATGATTTTGAATATAATTGAACACCCTTATTTACAATAACTATTTAAATAGAAACAATTGCGTATTTAAAATAAATTAAAACTTGATATAATAGAATCACTAAAGTAGATTTTCATTCGGCAAATTACAAAAAATATTTCATTAAAAATTTCGTGAAAATGCGTATTGCGATCAAATACAATAAATGAGTTGATATTATATTGTCTTGCTTGTTAAACATTTTCAGAATTATTGAAAGCTTAAGATCGTAACAAAGTACTTAATGAATTTGTGCATAAATTTATTTTTTTATTCATACCACTACAAAACTTACGCAAAATCATAAAATTAAAATTTGAAATAAATAAAATCAAAATTATAGTTAGTTTAGCTAACAAAGAATAATTAACGTAAATATTCGAAGAAATCCAAAGTTAATTTTCGTAAAAAACTTATCGATAATGATTAATAAAGCCAGTCAGCCAGATAATAATTTATTTTGCTTTACCTAGTTATTAAAATGGGGATACATTTTAATAATTAAACCAAAACTACATTAACTTATCTTTTAAAACATAAATTAAGGAGTAATCTGAAGGTTTAAAAATCATTCTATTTAGAATATAAAACAAAAGGAGTGAATGGTAACAGAAATCAATGACCAATGAACCTTTAAGATCTGACAAATATTCTGAAATCGCAAGCGCTCAGCACATTTCTAAAAACAAGACGCAAAGCATTATCGCAAGCTGAACTCGTCGCTTATTAGTACTATATAAAAAAACATATATCATAGCAATATTCACCTTGCCAGGATGTAGGATATGAGGGGGAGGGCCAGGGTTTTCTTCCTCTGCTCCACTGCGGCCGCCATTGATAGTATTCTCCAGGGTTCCGCCTTTGGAATGAGCTTTAGGGTCGTGTACTTTAAAACGCACCTCCTGAAACGCACATTTGAAAAGGTGGAAACATTGCAGTTTATCAAAGGAAATTATTTTACAATTAAGAACGTGACTTATTTTTTTTATTCCTATAATATTAAAAAATAATAATCCGTTCATTAACTTATTTTTGATAAACATATTATTGTTACATTTTAAATAATTACAATGCATGTAGTTCTCTACTGGTTTCAAATCACATCGGGACTCTTATTTATTTACGAGCAGCGTGTCTAACGCAGTCGATGACTATGCGACTCAATAAATTGAAAACACAATATTCATAAAATGACAATTTGGGCAAGTCGGAAAAAGAATTGAATTCGACTTGTCGTCAAGTTAACAATTGTAATATACGAGTACATAGGTAGTTGAGTTTACCGATGGTCTTCCAGGTGGGCACCGACTAAGAGTTCCCATTTTAGACAGCGTGTGTGGATCACCGACAGGAGGACAATCAACTGGAATTTTCTTTTCAGAGGCAATTTTCTGTATAGCTACGAATCTTTGTTTTCTCATCTGTATTCTTTTGGCCATATACCCCACAGTAGCATATTCTGTAAAGATGAGAGAAAACCGTCCATAACGAAATATTCAACAACTTATTATGCCACTATCGCTATGCACATTCGCGTAAGAGAAAAATCATAATTCGACTTACGTAAAAAATTCGCCTTGCAATTATAAATATGAATATGTAAATAAAATTTTATTACCTAGCAAACTCGCGAAGACCATCACGAAGCAGGTTCCCAAATATACGTCGATAGACTTGACGTACGATATCTTAGGTAAAGCTGCATTCGTTGAAGACATGAGAGTGGTCATCGTCAACACAGTGGTAACACCTAGAGCGACTCGAGCCGGTGTGGCGTTTCGGTTCAACCAAAACGATACCCATGATATGATGACAATCAAACCAGACGGAATATAAATTTGAATCAGGTAATATCCCATTGATCGTACAAATTGAATTTCACATGCCAATCTTGAGTAATTTCCTGTAAAAGGTTTTAAATAAATAAGAATGCGATTTTTATAAATAAACAGTTTTACATACATTTATTAGGTATTTTAAAAAAAATATTCATAACAGTACATTATCGTAACGACTTTTTAGTAAAGTTACGAAGAAATTTAATTTCTAAACTTTGGCTCTTTGGTGATTTAGTTAATTTGTTTTGTTTGGAAAGTATTCCAGGTATTAAAAATCTTAATTAACCATACAACATGACATAAAAACTATTTCACACCACTCATAGTGTTTTGTGCAATAATACAAAAGCAGGACGTGATAAGAATCGTGGCTGTTTCTGTCCAGTGTTCCACGTAGTGGTGTCTCATTAATATTTCTTTGTTTCCTACATAGATTCCCCTGCGAACCCAAGTACCTGTAGTAAGGGAGATCTCCATAGCTCGTTGGCGATGGCCCAGCACCTTGAACTGCGGCAGCGACACCTCGCTGGAAACACCCACAGAGTTGGGCCCCTCGTTCCATTTGTATCTGATGTCCCGCATGGTGTAGCCGACTGTGCGCAGCGGACATTATAAATGAAACAACCCCAGGCCCATCGCAATGGGTTTTACAACACGAATTGTCTTTCGGTTGGGGTAAGAGCAGGGGAGTCGCGAGTTCGGATTCGCGCGTCTCGTCGTGCGATTGTCGTGTTATGTTTAGCGTGTGTGCTTGTGTCGCGGTTACAATCGTCTGCACACGGGCTGAGGGAGACGGGGTCGGTGGCGGAGTTATGGGTGCGCTGTGCTGGGAGGGCGGCTGTTGCGATCGGTTACCTGTCGTCAATGTAACAACAGTGGCGCGCTGCCGGTGGCCGAGCACCCGGAACTGCGGCAGCTGCACCTCGTTGCTCATACCGACGCTGTTCACCCCATCTTTCCAATGGTACCGAATGTCTCTCATTGTGTACCCGACTCCGGAGACATGCCAAACACACAAAACGCTATCACTTACGCTGCGAAGCATCGCGTTTCCCTCACGCGGCCGCGCCTGTGTCGAGGATGGGTTCAAGTGGCGAGACGTAATTAAGTCGAACAAAGTTATTTCCAGAATTCATGTTACTTAGTTACTACATACGCTTGGTTCGACTTAATTAGATGATAAAAAAGTTGACTACCTACAAGGGTGATAGAGACCACAAAATAATTGGGAAAATATTAACTATTCTATAAAATAATAATTCCTAAAAATAATAGTTGCACTAAAATGAAAATAGTGACTATAAAGTGGCAAGCCACAGGGCAAGCATCAAAATGTAAGGTCATGCAAGTGCAGGGAGTGTAGGGTGCGTGTGATGAGCGAAAGCGGCGGTGGTGCGAGGGTGTGCTGGGTGTGCGCCGAGGCGCGTGCGGTGCCTTGTCTGCGGCACGGCCCTCGGTAGTTGTGCAGACCCCGCGGGCGCCACCGTCCCCCGCCTCCTTAAACCCGCTCAGCATGTCGCAGCGTCGATGTCTTACTATCATTTCGTATGCTAAATGCTCGTGAGAACAAAGGCTTACTATTGACGAGTCTGCCTTCTGCGGGTGCTGTATGCGAGAAGGAGACGTTCCAACTTATGAAAACTCGAGGGAAATCACAGCACGTGTCGACGATTATGTTGTACGCTTGTGCTCACAGGGTACCCTGAGTAGCATCTGTGATACAAGAAAGTGTTCACAACACATCTGTAAGCCTAGTGATAGTTTGCATCGTGGTAAAGAATCAAATTAATGATTGCTTTGGTGAGCACAATACACACGTATACGTATAGTAATATTGTTTTCGACTGTTTTGTCATCTGTAACTAAAAGTGCCTGGCACTGCATTTGTATTTTAATCATTGCCGTCGATATTTTGCGATTCTTAAAAACAAAATTACATTGTTGCAACTGACACACAAAGCGTGCGGTTGTCCAGCAACACTCTGAGAGTAGCTAAAACATTAAGTATTAATATTGTATTATCAAAGGTAGCATTTTGTGATAAATATACAAGTTTGTCAACAACACACACATTGGCGTACAAGAAATATAGATTAGTTCAGATACTTACAACTTTCTATTTCAATGTGACACAGTTGTCGATCCATTGGGAAGTATTGCAGGTTCATAGGACACGAAGCAGTGATCGTCAATCTGAAACATACACCCTGCTGTAGTCGTTGTACTTGCCTTGTGTATTCGTAATGTTTGACTGGACAATGCCGCGAAATTGTAATGTCAAACGTATTACCTGATACTCCTAGTAATAGATCCAGAATAGTGAATGCGTATGAATTCGTTGCTTGTTGTTGCTATATGGAAATACGATTGCTTTTCGTTTACAAAAAACGTGTCCGGCACCCATATGTTCTTTATGAACTCCGACCCAACGGATAATGTCTCAACTCCTGTTCTTTTTTTGTAAGCTAATCGGGGATCGGTCCAAAATTGTCTGAAGTAAAAATCCAATGTGAAATCCTGAGAAAAAATCATAATCATTAAATAAAGTATGCACGTCGGATTGACACTATTAATGTAATTAAAACAAATAGCGCATGGGTTTGAACTAAAATTGTGAGTAATTCTGAGAATATTAATGATGGGCATCGTTTTATGGCATGTAACATGTTGGCTCGTAGTTCCTTCTAAACAATCGACACTGCGTGTTTTAATGTGTAGCAGGAACGTTAGATTTTTATATTTTTCTAGCCAGTGTTTCATTGTAGTTAAATCAAATTTAACATAGTATATATACATATATATTTTATTATTTGATAACTATAAATTAACATCTAACATCTGCATGCTTTGTTTCATAGATATTCATCCTACACAATGTCTTAGTATAGATACACTGCGATAAATGTCCACAAAAGGCTAATTAAATATAGTTTTTAAATTGAAAACAATAAAGTCGAAGCTTAGTTCTCGTGACTTCGGACAGAAATAACACTGGAAAATATATAGACACTGCACTACATTGAAAAGTTAAATTGAGCGATAAGCTTTAAACAGTTATGAAAAAATAAAATGTGCAGAGAGTGTGATAGTGACATGAAGCCTACAGAACACAGGTGAGGTCTAATAATGAACAGGGATGTGGGTGCTCTAAGTGATAGGAGAGGGCGAGGTGTGTGGGCGGCGGCGAAGGCGGACACCCACGGCTCGATAGAGGCAATCCTCTATTGACTCAAGCTAACAAGCCGGTACGTATACAAGTTGCCACCAACAAAGTTCGGACCAGGTATGTGGAACAAATTAACGTCCATTTATGAGGTCGAATCGAGAGTTTGCGGATCGTGAATTAGGCAACCTCCCCACCCTGGGCCATGGGTCACGTCTCATTGTGACCTTCCCAACCTTGATTTGGTTTCCACTTCAGGGTCCTTCACCCAAACATACGCCTAGCAAGCTCACACAGTTTGACATATTGGAAAACCGAAATCGGTTTTTTTTATTCTGACCATCGAACTGCGCAAATATATAGGGATATCAGTATCAAAAACAGCAAACTCACGAAAGCGGTACTATTAATTAAATAAGGTCAGATAGTATCGATGTTCCAAGTCACTGGAGATATTAGAAAGTTACAATTATGTTGGCAATATTTCAGTAAATACACATAATACGTACATTCACAACAAACTACAAAAATGAATCACGATAAGAGTTATACAGTCGTCGCAAGTCCACAGAGCCTGAACACATTTAATGTACGTTTTAATTAAATGTATTTTGAGATCGTGCCTTCGTGTTTTTTTGTTAAGGCCACCTTCATTGCCATTTATATTATTACATTATTACACTACTGATTGTACTTTTACTTTTCAATTGTTTCTATGCCAAACCTCAGCGAAGAAAGTGATGATATTCTGTTGACTAGAAACTTCTTTGAAATAAATTAAAAAACAAGTAAGAAAAATCATTGCTTTGAAAAGTAGGGTTGCACACGAAATTGGTGGTAAATTAAAATCTAAATTAAATACATTAAATAAAAATATATCAAAATGTAATAGTTAAAGAAAGGAAACAATAATGGTAAATAGTAAATTTGAAAGTAAAGTAATCAGAGGACAGACGTCATCACTTGATATGGCAGCAGCTTTGGAGTTACGAGTACTGCAGGACACACAACTGGATAATTTTAAGGTTCAACGGGTTGCCTTTCTTATTATGGTCTCATTATTAAAGGACAATGCCCATCAGACTACGGCAGATAGTATGAAGTAGAATTTATTACGTTTCGATACACCTCAAACATGATATAATGCACATTAAAAACTTGCAAGCTTTAATTCATTATTTTGAAAAAGAAAAAATATTTTTTTATATTTTATAAATTGTTACAAGTGTAAGTATAAAGATTTTGAACATTGGTGTTCGAACACACAAAATCTGCTTTGATAGGTTACACACGCATAATAGTTGTGTAAATTATCATCGTTTCATTGATATAAAATAATTTCAAAATATTTTCAGCCTATTAAAACAGAAAATAACATTGTTTTTATCAATATGGGAGTCTTTTAGTGAAAAAAAAAACAATTATGATTCTTAGATTTGGACACAAATGGGCATAGTCCTTTCAGTTTTTGAGTATAAACGAGTTTACCAGGAAACATAATAAGAAAGCAAGTGGGCGGACAAAGGGCGATCTGCTCCACCAAACGCGGACATGCTCGCAGCCTCGTGTCTGGGGCTGCTCGGTCGCAGCGGCGCAGCGCGCGGCCGGAGCGACCGAGACAAGCGTGAGCTGACAGTGGCGAGTACCATGAGCACTTCGGAGACGGAGCTGATAGAGAGCACATACATGGTGACGCCCACCTCCACTGGCGGACCTGCAATCAAGCCCAATCGTGAGTCGCGCGCGCGCCTCGCGCCGTGAAAACCAAACCAGAGGACGGTGACGTGCCCCATCGCCGGGCGAGCGGAGCAGAAGGGACGCGAGAGGCGCGGGGTGCCTGCGAATGTCTAGTGGTCGCTGCTGTGCACGAGGAGTGCGGGCGCGGCGACCCGGCCAGCTAGCTACGCGAGGCCGTGGGTCGCGACTTGCGCCTACACCCATCGAATGCAATCGAACCGTGGACACGGGTGCTACGATGAACGGTTTAATGCTGGTGATAATGCTAAAGGATAAAATCTTGCTATGTATGCGTTGTGTCTTAAAATTGCTTTGAAAATAAGATACCATTTTCACTTCAGACAGAGAGCTGATGGAGAGCACGTACATGGTAACCCCCACTTCCACGGGTGGTCCTGAAAACGACACAATACACAACACATAACAAGTGTTAGTTATCCGTCGTAGTAACTGTTTGCGAGTTACCGTAATGAGCTCTCCTGTTATATTGAATACTTAAGTATTGTATCATGCTAATTAGAATCACACACAGCGAGTGGTGCAAATGTGTTCAATACTTTAGCCAACTCGTAAGTTAGGTAAGGCCGTACACCGGCTACATTATGCACGTACGAATAGTGCGGTGGATGGAAAGTAGTTTCTGTAGATGGTAACGGAAAATATTTATTTTACACGACACAAAATAGACAATAAATTATTACGCCACAACATCACATAGAAATTACCCATTTGTCAAGAGGGGATTTGAATCTATAGAAGAACTAAATACATAGGTTATTCTTAGTACCAGCTTCGAATGTATTAATCACTTACTCATCAGCAAAACTAATTAAACCAAGATGCCAAAGTGTATGATAAAATATGATTAAATCCGAAACAAATGTATTTTGATACATATAAACAAAGTAGCGCAGAATTATCCATAGGTACCTATTAGTAGGTTATTTCTTACTAGGAATAAATGTATTAAACGATCAAATCAAAACAAAATTGCAAAAAAATAATTTTATTGTGTAAGTAAAGACGTACTTACTACTCTTTCTATTACTTACAACTTTCAGAATTAACTGTTTTTATACGAC